GTGGAGGGAACCGGGGAATAGCCACCCGTTTGCCCGTCACCAGTGATGATCCTCATCAGGGGCTGGCAGGACTTTTTCTTAAAGGGCAGAGGCCGTGTGGGCCGTAGAGGCTGTCTTAACGGCGCAGCTCCGCGGTCAGACGACGCGAGCCGCCCGAGACGGGGCCCGAGCAGCGAGGGTGCACCCCGGGAACGTCCTTCACAGGTGGCAGGGCGTCTGCTGGCCTCTGGTCTCGGTTATCAGCGAGGGATGCTGGGTAACAAGACTGTTGAGAACTTCCAGAGTTAGGGTGGAGTGTCGTCACCAGAAAGAGCGCTCCGCAGAGCGCTCGTGGGGTCGATGAGGCAGATACTTACTAAACAGCTGTATTTCAGTGGTAGTATAAAGGTACTGAGAATTTAGGGTTTTACTCTTATTTTTCCATTTGATAAAATTAACTTATTCTTTTCTATCAAAATAAAAGAAGTGAAATTTATGTTAGTTGAACACAATAGATCATTAAGGTGCCAAATTTAAAATTCTCTGTTACCCTCTCAAGAGAACTGCTGACAGAGAGGCATTTGACCGTAACATGTTAGTGAGTTCTATACACTGCAGCGTTCCGGGGAAGGACAGCCTGGAGCATGACTTTTGGATTTTGTTTCTAATTGCAACTTTGATTTGATGCTGTCTGTACTAGAGATCTAAACAAATAACTGTTAGGTCAGACATTTCAGTCTTTCCACATCGTGATGCAGCTTAATCTTAGATAATTATTAGTACATAAAAGCAGCAGTCTGATCCCTTTTCGAGTTTGCCCTGTGAATTATTTTCCTGAAACATGTCACACACTTCTCTGCTATGCACATCTTCTCAGCAAAAGGTATATGGAACTCGGCCACAAATTCTGCCGGAACACTGAGGTATATCTAAAACAAAGGCCCAAATCTTAACTGTGACATGATTTTGTTAGTATTATCCGAGTCACCAGGAATAAACGTCCTTAAAAACAGCTCTACTTACCATCAGTATTGTTTTATTTGAAAGACCAACTGGTGGATTAGTAACGGATCACTTACAGTGTTAGGATTCTTGGCGCAGTTTCCAGTCTGGGGTCAGAACCCTGGCCTCCCCCGTGTACACAGTGGCTGAGTGCTTGGTGCAGGGTCCTCTGCTTTGGCCGGTGCCTCTAGTGGCAGGGGGTCATCCCAGGAGCTGAGTGTGCTCCCGGCCTCAGATCTCTCACCCCCCAAAACAGGAGAGCGTGCCATTTGCTGCAGTCCACGCTGAGTGTGAAGCTGATGTCTCTGGTAAATAAGTAGACATCATTAGCCTTTATTGTGGTAACTGTACCCCATAGTGAAACGTTAGCACCTGCATTGTGACATTGCTGCATTTATTCTTTACAGTGAATTTTTATTAAAGGTCTGTCAGGTTTTCCAAATCGTTCAAACAGTGACTCTTTCAAAGCCTTTTAGTATGAATTATGACATTTGGAAAGTTTTGTACAATAATTTAGTTAGAGGTATCTGTGTATTTATCACTAATCATATTTAAGATTAATATCTTAGTCTCCCAAGTAAGAGAGCTCAGGGAAATTGTGCGTTTTAAAGTTTCTTCCATATATCTTAATAATGAAACTCAAGTGTTTAATACGTTTGTGGACCTTTTCCTGTTTCTGAGTTCGGGAAGCCGGTCTGTACCGTTTACCGTCCTCATTGGGTTGTCCTTCAGACGCAGACGAAACGCGGGAGCAGCCGACACGCCGGTGGTGGTGGAATACAGGTCTAAACTTGACTTTTTTTCACACTTCATCTTTCTTTTTTTTCCTCTCTGTTACCTGCAGCAGACTGCTCTGCCAGCAATCTCTGTTCTAGATTTGGTATGTTCTCATTTCTTTCCCTTTGGTACTTTTTTCCTGTCTTGATTTTCTTTTTTTCTTTCAGTGGTGGTGGTTTTGTGTTTCTAGTAGACCAGTTCCTAGGGGTGTCCTAGTGCAGGATGTGTAGTTCCGTGCCTCTCAAGAAGCATGCCTTTCAGTGTGTTTAGATTTAGTTACTCTTTGCTTTTCCCCCTTAATTTTAAGTGTTACTGTTTGTTTATGGTTTTTGACCTTTTCTCAGTCTTAAAGTTGATTCTGTGTATTCTTACGTAGTCATTAATACATGAGCAAATGAAAGAACTCTTGCAATGACTAATCTATTTAATATTATTACCTTGGTAATAGATTTTGAATAATCAACTATTAGAAACTCAATTGAATTGGTATTCACATTGTTTTGCCAATTAAGATGTAACTGTCTAGGATAGTACTGTCGGTAGATTAAGAGAGCTTTTCGGTAAACATTTATTCTTTGTTTTCTTTAATAATTTCACATGGACTTCAGTTTAGTTTATCAGCCGTACCAGTTTATTGTCTGCCAAAAAATGCCAGAGTCCTTTTCTGTTATAAATTCAGTGGGTTTTATGTCAGTATTGGGAAATTCGGTTGGTCATTCAGTATCTGCAATGCTCAGGTACTGTTATCTGTGTCATTGGCCAGAGAATTATGGACTGGCTGACATACCTATTATATTAACAAGGTCATTTTTTGTTAGTCGGCTTCTAAATGAATATGGGCAGTGTCAGACACCAGGACTGTGAACAGTCCCTGAGTCCGGGTCTGACTTTGCTGGCCTTTTCACCAAACAACAGCCCTTTTTCTTCCTCCTCTAAACAGTGTGGTGGTACTGTCACTCCAAAGAGAAGCCTCTTGTGCACACAGCTCCACTCTTTGATGGCCGAAGGGCAGATTATTTTAGCTTCCCCCCCCCCTTTTTTTTTAAATAGGAGACAAAGATGAAATATGTATGTTCTCTCCATGCTTCTGTGTGGTGAGGTGTACCTATGGCAGGGGGTTTCTTTGTGTCAGGTGCTCATTCAGCACACACTCACAGGGTGTCCGTTACCCCCCGGGTCCTGACCCAATACACTGGCTGGCTGTAAGGGGTTCCCCAGCTCTGTGGGCCCGGCCAGAACCCTCCTATGCAGATGACGTGACAGATGAACGATACCTAAGGAGAAAGGATTACATGAAGATTTGTATTTTAAAGACACAGTTCAGAGTTTTTATTTCTTTAAAAGGTAATTATTTTGAGTATTAATATTGACTTTAACCACCACATTTCTGAGCATTTCTTAGCCTGATTCCCCAGCGAATATTAATGTTATTACCAGCAGAGTGTCAGTATCTAGAGAATCGTTTTGTCAGAATGGGCAGGTTGTGTGGAGGGACCTCCTCTGCTAGGTGTCAGTCCTTTCCCTGAGATGAAGGGTGGTGGCGGGTGTGACCGTGTAGGAAGCGTACGCTGTGCATTTTTTACAGTGTGCCCTTCGTACGGAACGTCACGGATGTTTGTGGGGGTGACTGGGCTCGGCGGAGCAGGTCTTCTGCTCCGGGGCAGCCCCGTCTCAGACAGGCGTGGCTCTGCTCGCCCTCTGCTCTTCCAGTGGGCCGCCTCCCGATCCGGGACGCCCATTTACATTTCTAGCCCCAGCCCTCTCGGACCAAAGACCTGTGCACGTTTGACCACGTGACGCCTCCACTGGGAGTCAGACAGGACTTTGCGAACCCCGGCGTGTTCCACCCAGAGTGCCTTCTCTCCCCGCCCCCGCGCACCTTGCTGCTCATCTCCTCTGCCTTTGGCCTTCCCTGTCTCAGTAGACGCTCCTAATTGCCCCCCATCTGCGAGCCTTAGGAACCATAGCCCCTGCTCCTCTCCGCTGAGGGATTCTGCTTTCCTTACTTTCCCAGCATCTGAGCCCAGGACACCACACTGGCCTGAGCCACTGCCATCCCCTCGCGCCCCTTTTCCACCTTTGTTCCCATACAGGCTGTCCTCAACACATCAGCTGCGGGGACCCCAGTTAAAGACACGTGATCTCAGGAGTCCTCAGGACCCAGCAGGTCCCTTAGACAAGCGTCCTCAGTCTTCCCGCGGCCGCGCAGTGCGGCCGTCCCACCCGCGCCTTCCCCCGCCCCGGCCTCCCCTCTCTGTCGCACCCGCGCCGCGGGGTGGGTGCTGTGAGCCGCCGCTGCAGCGCCCCGGCCGAGGGCTGAGGGCCACTGGTCCTTCTACCCAGTGACGGGACGTGCAGCACGTCATACCCCTGCTGCCCTAGGTCGCCAGATGATTGCATATGTTACCCTCTTGTTTCCTTGTGACAGCCCTGTGATGTGGTGGGACAGAGCGGCAAGGCCAGCGGGGAAGAGACCCACCTGACGTCATGTAGTCAGGATTCTAACCAGAGTTTTCTCCCTTTATGATTATTTTAAAGTCTGCTGCACAAAAATGTCTCCTGCTCACGAAACTCTTGCTAGGAGCCATCTTTCAACTAGTGACAGGCTCTCAGTTGGCTGGTCTCAGGCTTTGTCTTGGTACCGTTGTAATGGCTCATCCGCTGACTCGGATGACCTGACAGCTCAAGGGGAAAATTCCTCTGCCTTGGGGTAGTGCCAGCAGAGGGATGTTTTCAAGGATTTCGGTGGCTCTCCTGTTTTCCTCCAGGCTAGGTCTGCCCTTGTCCCCTGCCCTCCTGCCTGGTCCTCATGTGGCACGGTAGGAATTGGGCAGACCCGAGCGACCTGGGCATAGAAGGGGCTGGACTGAAAGCAGAGTCATTCGGAAACCCGGTTGCACGGTGCCCTTTCGGAGAGGCGGGCTGCTCACTGCCTCTTCACACGGGAGTGCGTGGCTGCAGGAGTGGGCCGTGGGAGCCGGAGGATGGGCCGTCCGCCCGGGAATGCGGAGGAGAGTGTGTTCCTAGTCAAACCAACTTGCCCATGTTTCCAAGCAGAACATAAAATTCACATGCTTGTGTCCGATATGACAGTTGTGCAAAGAGAACTGTGGGTGCACATCGTGGGCTCTTTGAGCCGCACAGCCTCCTTGGGGGTGACTTCCTGTCTCTGCCGCTGTTGGAGCAGCTAAGCTGTAGTTCTTACAATTCCTGGCAGACTCGTCCTTCTTACACTGCAAAGGCAGAGGCACGGGCCGCGCCCAGGGAAGGGAGCTCACGCACTGATGGAGTGCCCAACATTGTGCAGATGGCTCTCCTAAGGATGGAGCCCCGTGCTCAACGCCCCCGGCATGGGGCTGAGGACTTGCTCTGGACCCAAGTCAGGGGCCAACGCCCAGTGGTAGTAAGGGGCCTGATCATAGTGGTTCCTCATGGGTGGGTATGAAAAATTTTAGGGTGTTTTTAATGGGTGGGGACATAGGCAGAAAAGTCTTGCCCAAGTTCTTAAGGACAACCTGCTCAGCAGACTTTTAGTGGTATTTTCAGTGAAAATGTCAAAAAGTAAGGGACACCTTGGCCCTCTTTTGTATTCCGATTATCTCAGTGTGATTGTCTCCCTTAATGGGGCTTTTACTATAAATTCAAGGTACAGTTTAGGGCCCTGTGGTACAAAGTCATAAACACATAGATTTCAACATGATTTTTTTTTTTACCTGAAAATGCCTTTTTTAGAAATGGGGACCACCAATGTAGCAAAACCGGTTCAGGCTTAGAGGGCTGGCTTTTGAAATCCCAGCTTAAGTTGTTGGTTTAGAATAGCTTTAGTCTGGGCTGCCTTGTGTTCATTCTGTGAGAATTCTCCTTCTGTCTACTCAGATCTGTTCCCCCCGAATATAACTTCCTACCAGACGGCTTTGATACATGTCACTTGGCATTCCTTTCCTGTAAAACAGTGAGCTCATCTCCTATTCATTTAACTCCAGTGTTAACATAGTTTGTCATCGGATCTCAGCCATGAAATTTGTAACAAGTTGAGCTGCCCTTTAACCAGTAATGACCGTCAGCTCAGTGTACCATTCTGAGCTATTATTTGGAGTAAATTAAGCAATTGGATTCTCTTTTCTGTCCTTAATGGTTTTGGGGGAGGAGGGTAGAGTAAAGTGGCGTACGTATGAACAAAACAGTCTGTGTTTTGAAGATGAGAGGACATGAAGCAGCTTACCCCCACAGTGGAGAGAGGCTGCCCGGGTCCTGACTGCACCAGCTCATTGGTCGACTTTAAAAACAGGCGCTAATGAACCCAACCCAAGAGACATCTCCTTGCTTACCCCATCCAGATTTAGAAGAATGAAGGCTTTTAAGAGAAAGAGTCTGTTTATCAATTCATAAGGTATAGCATTCTGTACCGGTAATTATGAGAATTGTAACTGTTCTCATTTCTTAAAATCATACTCCTCTTTAATTTAAAAGAACGAGTGGCCTGTTTCAGTGGATACCGGTTTTCTTGCTCAGACTTGTTTTCAGTTAGGTCTAGAAAGTATAACATGATGAATTAGTTTGTGCTTTATTGGGTAACAAAAACTTCTTTCACTAATGCAGCTTTACATTCTTCCATAAGTTACTCTTCTGTAGAATATTTACTATTCTCAGTGGCTATTTTATTTTGTCTGTTTCTCCTAATTTGGACTGATGACTATAACATGCTTGATCAGTCTTCACGCTGCTGGCTATGAGCCCTCCATGGGGGACTCTCCCCAGGGCAGGACGCTGGACAGTTCTTCTTGGTGCTGGGGTTCTCAGGTAGCAGCACCTGCCCCTGCTCCAGAAGCCACGCTGCCCTCCCTCCTGGCCAATTTCTAGATTGTACTCAAAGAGGAAGTTAAGTAAATTTGTCTTCTTGACGAGGCAGTTTTCATTTTTTTTCTAAGGTGTCTTAATGTTGTTTGCTGATACGAAAAAGTCTAGTGACACAAGTTAATTTGTTACTTTCCACCAGATGCAGTGTTTTATTCCAGAGAAATCAGGCAAGAGTGAAGTTGTTAGGTTTTTGTTTAAAAAAATAAACATAAATGCAATTTAAGTCCAGTTTCTATTTTTTGCTATGAACAATTTATACAATAACTAGTAATTCTGTCAGTACTGAAGCACACCATGAACGATTTTATGTAAGGGATTCCTGCAGTGGTTTTAGCAGTTAAACGAGGTGGCGTTGAGTTACATTTTCATTTTTTTAAATTTTGAATCCACTGCTCTTGGTGTCGAGGGCTGTGGGCGCTGCTACAGGCCAGCTCTGTCACAGACGACAGAAATGGGGAAGCAACTTCCAAAGTTACCTTTGTCCTGGCCTATAACAACAGAAGTGCATTGTCCTCTGTTCTGTTCTGGTCAGAGGTACCCTGAAGCCATAGTACTTAGAGAAGTCTGACCAGAAGGATAAAGGAGCCGGAAACCAAAACAGGCTACATCGTAGATTTTTGAAGATACCCTGAAGTATTTGGATGGTGTGAAGTAAAGATACTAAATTTGTTTTGTGTTGTTTCAAAAAGGCAAAACCTGAATGACGAAAAATAGAAAGCAAACCATCAGGTGATGAATTTTAGACCCACAGAAGAACTTTTTGACTAGTAGTTACCTGAAAATAGAACGCCGTCTCGGGGAGGTAGGCAGTAGGTTCCCAGACACCAGAGTTATTCAGACAGAGTGGATAATTACTTGGCAGAGATGTAGCAGAAGGGAGGTAGAGTAAGGTTCCTTCCAAATTTTAGGTTCAGATTCTCTGACTCAGTTTGGGGGTATCCCTGGGCTGAGAAGGAATTCTCAAAGTCCAGGATGGGGTCCAAAAAGAGCGGATGGCCATGGGCCGGCGTGCTGGGAGCTTGGTGCCCAGGCAGAGGTGGGCTGCTGTGCACGGGGGCTCTCCACAGACCCAGGCCCTGCAGTCGTGAGCTGGGGCCTGCACCCTGCCCCCAGGAGGCCAGCGTCTGCGTGCCACAGCCCACAGGAGCGCGGCCAGGAAGCACAGGGGGTTGAGTGGGTTCCATCAGTTGAGGGTTTTGTCTTTTGCTGGAGTCTGCGGATTTACAGGAGCTGGTTAAACTTCTATTTATTCTAATACAAGAATGATGCTTGTTTAATGTGTGAATGCATGAGACAGAGTCCTCCTTCTTTGAGCCACAGTTAATGGGGAAATTAACGGACCTGTGGGGACCACGCTTTTAGGTAACTTATTTTTGAATTATAGAGCTCTAAGGTGTGTGTGTTTTACTGTCTTTCAACAGTGCTTCTAACCTGGTATCTTGTATTTGACTGTGTGTGTGTGTGTGTGTGTGTGTGTGTGTGTGCGCGCGCGCGCGCGTGCGTGCCTGTGTCTGTGTCCGCATGTGCCCGGTACGCCTCGTGCAGGTGGGTGAGCAGAGCGGAGCTTCAAGGCACTGTGTTGTTAGTTACAGGATGAGGAGCGGAGGCGTCAGCAGCAGCTGGAGGAGATGCGCAGGCGGGAAGCAGAAGATCGCGCCAGGCAGGAAGAGGAGCGGCGCCGCCAGGACGAGGAGAGAGCAAAGCGAGATGCTGAAGAAAAGGTTATGGTCCTCTAGGGGCAGCTAGCGCTTTACCAGATTAGCCTGAACCCATCGATGGGCTGGGGAGAGGGGCTAGACCTGACCTGTATCCTAAGATGTACAAGACAGAACAGGGCCTGGATCCCCACCTGTGTTACCGGACCCAACACTTGAGCACGACCTGGCCCACCTACCTCTCTTCCGAACTGTGTCCAGACTCTCTTACCCTCTGAGTCTTGTCTCTGTCCCGCTTCTGAACTCGTAGGCCTGGTTATGATGAGTGAGCCTCTTCGCAGCCCGCCCAAGTACTCCGGGCTCTTCCTTTCCTGGACGTGGTCCAGCTGGTTACTGTGAGGGGGATGCTTGTGCGCTAGGCGGGCAGAGGGAGTGCGAGCTGTGGGAGGCACCAGGAACATAGTTAACCCAGTCCGTTCACACTCCGCATGTGAGATTGTTGACTGGTATCACTCACTGCTGGTTGATGGGAGAGGGAGCAGATGGCTTATGAAAAACACGATTCAAGGAGAATTCAACTAGGATCTAATCTGATAAGTATCCTGAGTTACTAGGTTTCCATATGTGGATTTTTTTTTTTTTTTATGAAAGTAATCTTTTAAGTTGAATTTTAAAATGACAACTGATTTGACCTATTCTGCCTGTGCCCTGTGGCCTCCTGCTGTGTGTGCTGGCCCGGGCCCTCCCGCAGGGCTCGCCCGTGCTAGATGCAGCCTGGGAGAAGTGCATCTCCTCTGCTGCCTCCCTTCTGTGAAGGCGGAGGCCGGGAGCACCACAGCTGCTGATGGGGAGAAGTTCAGTTCTTATTCATCACTCCTTCTTTGATAGTCCAGTGAACTGTATTCATAGAGCACCCTCCTCCTCCCCCAAAAACAGAACTTTAAGGAAGTTTTTTGTAGCAATAGAATCTATGCGGATATATAACAAATGAAAAGCAAGATTGACAGAAACAATGTGACTCATTTCAATGAAAATAGAGTAAATAACGCTAGCACACGAACCTGTATGGAAATTAGCGATTTCTGCGTCTTCTAGACCTTCACCATTCCTTAAAGTCTGTCATCATATTATCTTCAAAAGCTGTGTCCCGGTAGATTTGCAGTTTTCTGAAGGAGTCTGAGCTTTCAGGGTTAGGTCTCCCTTGACTCTTTACCTTGTGTCATGATAAGTCAGAATCAAAATCAGTTTTCTGAAACGTGAGCCACACGGGGTCCTCCGTTGGGGTGCGTGTTGTCTTGCTGTTCCTTGGCTGTGTGCAGCCTCCGCCTGCCCTGGCAGTCCGCACAGACCCGCCGCCCTGCCGCGGGAGCAGCGCACCTTCTGTGGGGACACTTGGGGGCTACTCGGGTTTTCCAGCATGTGTGCTCACAACTCACAATTATGTCAAATACACTTGTGTCTTAGGAACTGCTTTCTAGAATTGAGTGCTCACTGTAAAAAGAAGCCGAATAACCTATTTTTTATACAGAATGTCCACAATTGTTGGGCTTGCTTTGTTATAGAAAATGTGCCATTCATTTGTGGTAGAATAATTGTGGGGTCATGTACTTGTATCTGCTCTCCATGTAACTTAACTAAAGGGTATTTTGGCTTCCTCCTAAAATGTTCTCCATGTCACACTAAGATTCCTGACAACTTGATGTAAAGGCCACAGGGGTCATTCTGAATTGGATTCCCCAACCCCCAAGCAAACACTTACTTTGTGTAGAAAATAAGGTGCAAAATGTCTTTCCTTCAGGATGTCTCAACACAGAGTGAGAAGACCGAGTGAGGAGTTGGTGTAGGGCCATGCCTGGGGCTGGCAGTGGTCCTTGCGGTTTCCTCCCTCAGAAGGGGAAGCGCCGAGCACTGTGTTGCGGTGCATGCATGCTCCAGAGGGAGCAGGGAGGAAACACAAGCGTACGCCGTAAAAGGGGGCCTTGAAACTTGTATCTTCATGCCAGCAAGGGCCCCAAAATGAGTTTTCGTTTGGTTGAATGGATTGAGAATTCACTCCGTTCTACAGCACTACGCACACCCAGGTTGAGGCACGTCCTTCTGTCTGCTCTTGTAACCCCTTTCTTACACGCACTTTTCCCATGTGTTCTAGAACTTTTGTCAATCTTTAACAGAACCATGCTGTTACCTTTTTTAATGTGAAAATAATTTCAACTCTGTCAACTGTAGTCTGTGCAGATGTATGTCGGAAGAAAATGTACAGTATGTGTCAAAATATATTTGAATATCGTGTTGCTGTTGTTATTAACGCCTGGCTCTCTAATTTTCTGTCTGTCAGGGAGTCTGTTAAGATTTGAACTATAAATTAAGAACTGTGGAAAGCGTATTTGTTAGATTGTTGCCTTGGGAAAATGAGTAATTTCTTTTACAGTTGATGGTTTCTGTTAACTTCCCTCTGAATAACTGGAAATAAACCAGGTGACTTAATCGTCCTTCTGGTCGAGGAAGGGGAAGGGCTGCTCTCTGGACTCCCGGGGCGCAATGAAAAAGCATGCGTGCCAGGTTGCTGTTCTTGCAAGTACCAGCTGTAGAAAGCCAGTTAGAGCCTATTTGAGTTTCGTTTTGTCTTTAAACCAAGCAGGCACAGGTAAGTTAATACCCTACAAGAACAGAAGGAGAGAGAGAGAGAAGCAGCAGGGAAATAAGGGTCTGGAGGGATAATTGAATGGGGACAATGGTGTCACAATGGGAAGCTGGAGCCTGCGAGTAGCTAGAGTGCCTTCGTTCCGTGCTTTGGAGCAGTTCCATGCCAGATAACCCCACGATATAGGATGAACGTGCCCAGGAGTCTCCAGACTGTCTCCAGGTGGATCTGCCCATTTCTGTCGTAGACTGTTACGTTGAAACTTTGCTGTCCCCTGGACTCATGATCAGTGTGGAGATGGGGTACAGAGGGTAAATGCGCCCTTTCGTGCACCCTGAAGGCCCCTCCTGACTCTGACCTTTGCGCTTTTGTCTGTTCCGCCTGCAGAGGCGACAGGAAGAAGGGTATTACAGCCGCCTGGAAGCCGAGAGGCGCAGACAGCACGCGGAGGCCGAGCGCAGATTGCTGGAGCCGGAGGAGCCGGGTCTGTGCAGACCCCCGCTTCCACGGGGCTACGAGCTCCCGTCCCCGTCCCCTCCGGCCGCCGCTCCTCCTCCCCCGCCTCAGCGGACCGCCTCCTCCCTCCAGGCCCAGACCCTGTCCCCAGACTCTGTGTACACCGCCAGGCTCGTCTCGTACCACGAGGAGGAGGAGGAGGACCGCAGTCTGGCAGGTCAGGACAAGCGCTCTGGCACGAGGACGTCCCACGGGCACCTTCTTCTTCCCGCCGCCCTTAAGCCACAGCAGCCCCCCTGCCCGCCACGCCCGGCCTCCGATGGCGTCTTTCTCTCCAACTCATTCCAGCCACCCTCGGCCTGTGCCAACAGTACTGCTCCCAAAGCAGGCCAGCCCCCGCCCCCTCCAAAAAAACCAGGCTTCTACCAGCCCAGCCACTCGAAAGGGAGAGGTAAAATGTGGGATTGCAAATCAAGCCCTCTTTATCTTCCTGATTGGAATCGGGACTCTGCCCCCCGCTGCTCTGTGGGCCCCTCAATCAGCACTCGCTTTGGAATTTGATTTCACCCGATCACTCGTCTCAGTGTGGTGATCTCCCCCTACCTCCAGTTGTCCTGTCTGTGCTAAGAGTCGTTTTGACAACTACACCAGCTCCCCAGTTGCTTTCTACCTGTAGGGCTCTGTCCCTCGGACCGCCAGCAGCGGCTGGCCCTCCGGGACCCCCCCAGTCGCTTGAAGTACTGTTGGTCTTGGCCTCCATTCTCTGCCTCTTCAAATAACTGTTAGATTTGGTTGAACACATACTTTTTTCACACATCTTGGTGTCTGAAGATGAGAGTAAGATGTTCTTCCCAGGAGTGTCAGGGTCACATGCTAAGTTCTGTTCTCCAACATGAGTAGAACTTTCTGTTCTGGCTTACGCGCCACGTGGCAGTGGTTTACCAGATGACCCCTACTTTCCGTGGTAGTTTGGGTGGAGTAGTTGGCGCTACACTGAGTTGATGGTTCTGCTGTAATGTGAGCTGCCTCATGCCAGGGACATAGAACCCAGTCGTTGTGAAATGACTCCTTTTCCCTCTTGCTGGTTTCGTTCCTTCCTGTTAACGGACGTTCCCCGCACGTCACAGTCCCAGTACCCAGACCCTGACAGGCACACAGTTGCCTTGAGTTAATACGAACTCTGACGTGACGGTGGTCCTGCCCACAGGCGCGTCCGCCGTAACCAGTGTCCGAGACGGCACTGGAAGGGATGTTTAAAATATTCAAATTCCAAGTTCCTCTTACAATCTTAAAATTAGAATGCTGGCAATAAAGACTGTCAGATTTAGTGGTCTTCGTGGGCACAAGGGTCTTCTAAAATGCTCCTGGTTCAATGCCCGGGACTCAGAATTCTAAAAGAAGTTGAATGATTAAAAACATGCGTGACCTTGGCTCTTCCAGAACAAATGAGTTCTGCCAGGTTCTCTTCCCATTGGCGTCAGAGCTTTGATCCCTCCCCGAAGGCTCAGCATATAATATTGAGACTGAGTCACTCAGAAGTCAAAATTAAATCTTTTTATAAAATGTCTGTTGGTATCTAGAAAGACTTCTCTGGGACAATAGTTTTTGAAGTGAGATGCCCTCAGTCTCCTTGCATCACGTTACAAGCTGAAAACTTGAGGTGTTGTGTGTCATGACACAGATGAGGTTTGCTAACGTGATGTTGGACTGTTTTCATTTCTGACCACTTTGGCTTTCACTCATACCACTAACCCTTATTTTATTTCACACCGAAAAGACCACATAGGAGCAGGTTATATCCTGCGTCTGATGGCTCGTGCCTCTTTGAAGACTTCCTTCGTAAAGTACAAAGCTGTCTGCACCAAATGCAGAGCATTTCTGACCTTCTCACCGCCATCCCACTAACATGGCCGCGCCCCTGGGTTCAGCTCATGTTTCTTCTGTTGTGAGCACTCCGCATGCTTCTGTGGGTGGACTGGTTTCTTCCACTGGGTGCCTGAGGAGGAGGAAAGGGGTACGGATTAGAATAAACAGTGTCTCAATCTAGCATAGCAAGGTATTTTTTAAAAAAAGAATGGTTCTTTAACTGGAGCTCTTTGAAAATTACTTGAAATGTGCAGTATTGATTCATGTAGTCCACTGAAAGTATTTAATATTCTGATTAACTTTGAAAACTTTGAAGAATTGATTTTTACCAGTGGAAGAAGCAAGTATCATTCTTACAACAAAACTCAAAAGATACAACATGACATTTTCTACAACAGCGAAAATTTAGAATTAAAATGGAAAAAAAATTCCACCCTGCCGATAATTGCTGTGGAGGCCTGCTCTGGGTTGCTCTACATTAGAGATGTGGGTCTGTTTCATCTTTTGAGTCTTTGTGGAGGATGACTTCCCACGTGGCGATCACAGGGACCCTGGCAAAGGACCGGGAATGATGCAGTGCCCCGAGGAGGCCCAGCCAGCCCTGCGCTCCGTCTCAGCCGACCAGCTAGGTCTGCACAGCATGTTCCTGCATCCAGAGAAGAAGCTAGAAATCATTTTTATGCTGCTGTCTAAAAAGGAAAATTCTACTGTCGAGATACTGTGGTGATTTTGTGGCCTGTCTAATCCAATACCCGTGCTGTCAGTGTTTGCTGAGTATTTTGAGCATTTATTGCTCCAGCTTGTATCATTGTAAGCACAACGCTCTTCAAGCGTGAAGTTTTTTTTCTTGCTGATGTTAAAATTAAGAGAATATATATGAGTGCTGACATAATGCACTATGATTTTAATAATATATCATTAGTGGTAATACTATATTTGGATGCATTTTAAAATTTTGATCTGCATCATCTCTTTTGATCTTTAACACTGGCTTGAGAGGGTGGTGCTGTTCCCAGGCTGGCTGCCGTCAGTCACCCCAGGCGCTGGGCCAAGCTCAGGCCGAGCCGGGGACCCAGGCTGGGCACCCCACAGGCTCATGCACTCCTCCTCTACACTGCTTTGGGTCTGGTTTTGAGTGAGTTTGTATTTACAGCATTTATATCAAACGCTAGGGCTTTTTCTGTAACTCATTTGTTTAAAAAGTTTTGTTTTAGTAATTATAGCCATTTATGTAGCAAAAAAATTCAGGAGCTGTCCTGAGAAGAGAAACTTGAGGCATGTGATCACAGCTTACTGTTTGGGTTGCATTTGCTCTCAGTCGTTTTGTAAGGAAACCCTTCGCCTCATGAGTGTCTGACAGTCTGCTCATTTAAATTAGTCTTCTGTGGATTTTTCTTGTGAATTCATGGTAATTACGCATATTAATATTTATTATTTATTTATTTAATATTTAATAATAAATCAAACTGATTTGAACCTTTTGGCTGTCGCTCCTTAAGGACATGGCTGGCGTGGCTGGCTCGGAGCACCGTGCACCTGCACGGCCTGGTGATTGGGTTACTCAGGCCACTGAGAGACGCGAGCTTCAGACCCACAGGCTCCTGTCAGATTTTCAGTACTCCTCCGTGGGCACTGCATCTTGATCATGAGTGAAGTTTTGGAAATTGTGCAGGCACTTTAACTTTTTTTTTTTCTTTTATGGAAAAGGACCAAACTCTTACATGGGATCGGCTGGGACAGCTGTTGGTGCCCATGATGCTTATCGGGATCCGAGAGAGAGACTGTCTAAAAGGTATTTATGGCTGTGCTAATTCTGTAGGAGGCTGGAGTGGAATTTTAGAGATTCATTATCATCTCAGACGTTTCTCATTGCACAAGTGTGTGAGCCTAGAGGTTCTTTTATTTTGCGTTGTGTTTCAGACAGTGATGTAGGTTTCAGGCTTAGTGGTCAGAACTCCAGAAGGAGCTGGGCATGCTGCTGTCTGCATCCGCCGACGAGGGTGGAAGATTCTAGAGCAGTGTCCAGACATCCTGCTAGACTCTGCCTAAGGCCAACCCTGACGATGCACAAACAGTAAGCAGGCCTCGTGTCTGCACCGAGCACCCTTACCTAGGCTATAGTCCAGACAGTTCTTAGAACACTGGCGTTGAGCTCATCGAGAAAATCTTTAGTATCTTACGCTAACTTGTTAAGGTAGGTATACTGATAGATGCCTCTCAGGTACATGTGAACTCATTAAAATTACATGTTTTTAAGCTGTCTCTCTTTAGCTAGCTCACCTATTAAGAATCCCCAGCCTGCTAATATTGGCGTTTTGAGAGTTGGACGTGGCTGGAGAAAGTTAACAGTTTAGTCAGGAGAACGTCCTGCCCTTTTTTCTGCCTAGTGACAACCCCAGTGATTGTATTCATGGGAAGGATTATGGCAGATTTAATAAGGAATGAGTCTCCCTCATGGAAAAGTGTACTTAATTGCCCATTATGTCAAGTTACCTCACTTTGAATGGAATTAGTGTTGACAGGTTAGTTCCAATGTTGACCAGTGATGTCTTGCATTTCCTCTGCTGCAGCCATGATGCAGATGTACCTGGGAGTTCAGGAGCTCCTGAAAACTTGACATTCAAAGAGCGTCAGCGTCTGTTTTCACAAGGTCAAGATGTGTCCAACAAAGTAAAAGCCTCTCGTAAATTAACAGAACTGGAAAATGAGCTGAACACAAAATGAGATGAGGCCGAGGTGCCCGTGCGCCCCAGGAGCCTGTCGGCGAGGCTCTGGAGGACGGGCTTGGGGCAGGGGCCGCGCACCGTGTGTCCAGATCCCAGAAGCACTGTTGCTGAGACAGCTGGGATCCAGAGATGGCCCCGTGCCAGGACGCTCTTGTCATTCACCAGGAGATGATCATTTATACAATGTAAACACTGTCTAATTTCTTAATCTGACTCACACGAAGATAAGTTTTTTGTTTCTTTTTTTAGCGTCTGAGTGGCAGAGGGGAGAATGCAGGGCAGGAGAGCACAGTGGGGACGTGTCTTTGCCCTCGCCCGGCGCGGCGCAGAGGCTGTGTGTGTTCTGGGTCGCTGACGGCACTGTGGCGACCAGGCAGGGAACCACCTGACCTGCCCAGACCTTGTTTGTGCCATTGGGTAGCAGCTGCAGACCGCGTCCCCCGAGGGCAAGGTGTCCCCTTCCAGGAGAGAGAACACCTGAGCATACCCCGCGCGGGGGCTCAGTGCAGAGCCCGCCCCCGGCCCTGCTCATTCGTCTCCCCCCCCCCGGGGGGGTTTCCAAGGCAGCTCAGACCCACGCGGCCCAGAAGGGAGGTGGTGCCTGTCAGGACCCTGCCCCCTCTCTTTCCATCCAGGGACAGCCCTCCTGCTATATTCTAAATAGGTGATTTAAAAAAAAATTCTCCCAAGAAGAAAATTTTGAGGATTTAAGCTTAGGATATTTTATTTTTATAAATGCCAGATTATTGTTAGACTAATAAATCATTGGTGATTTTGAAGATGGCAGTTCAGTTTAGGGAGTTCACTAAGTATCTCGACTATTCAAGAGAATCTATAAGAGAGGATCTGTTTAGCTGGGCCATGCTGATGTGGAGAGACATGGAAGTATGAGAGGGATGGGAGGTTAGCAGTGATGCTTGACACGGCTGGGGCTCAGGGATTCTACCTTCGAGGAAGGACCGGTTCTATCCACGTGTTGTCTGGGAAGGAAGGCTCGGTGACTTACGATGTCACACAGCCTCGGACGGTAGTTCAAGCGATTTTCTTACATTGAATAGAGTTACTTAATTTTCATTTTTGAGTCATTGGGCATCGCTGTTGTTTCTTCAGCTGTGACCGTGTGGCTGATGCTGGGGAGACGGATCTCATGTCGATTTCTACTGTGTGCCGTGGAAGTGCTAACTTACGTTGTGATTATGAGCAAACTTTCTACTTGACAAAACCCTGCTGTGGGGTCTCGATGATTCTTCTGTACCAGATTGTTCTCTTACAAATATATGTGTTAGAAAAATACACACACTTTCAAATAGAAAAGGGAGAGGCTTTTTAGCCTGAGAAATCACTTTAATGAGAGCTGTATGATAAATCATTGAAATGCGCGTGTAAATATTTTTACGTCTATCAGGGTTCTTATTTGGAAGTGTGCTCTCACCATTCCCCTTGTTTAAGAGAGTCACATGGTTCTAAGTGTTTATGAAGGATGTGGGTGTTTGCTCTGGAGGTTCCAGGAAAAGCAGGCCCCTCCCAGATAGCTCGAGAACACTGGCCGCCTTACAGGGACTAAATGCACACTTTCTTCCATGAAAAGATGCAGATGAATTACTTTTCTGTTAATATATAGAAAAATAGCAACTACACGTAAGTACATGCAAATACTTGTAAATACTGACATCCAGGGATATTTGTGTGTGTGGTCATCAGGCCTGTGGGCAGGTGGGCTGGGCCACCCTTGGGTGATCGGGTCAAATGTGAACACGTGCTTTTCATAACTGCGTCACTGGGGACACCACAACTGCTGTACTTTCCCATTTCTACTGTACTTCATTTGCAATCTATTTTTAATAAACTTTGTATGTATTTAAGTGTGTTTGCCATTATTGCAGTTGTGCAGGCAGAATCACATCTGTGATCGGCACCTTTGTCTCCCGTCCCCTTCTGCCTGTGAGGTCATTCACGAAAGGTCCCCCGAGGGTCCTGTCTGTGTCAGGTGCTCTTTCTGGTTTGTACTGGTCGTGCAGGCTGTTTGACGGAGGCCGCGGGCCACTCTTGCCGTGGTCCTCCACGCTCATCTCCTCACCCCTGCTCCACGACCTGCTGGGCATGTCAGTAGACCCTGTGGTCACACAGACTCACACGGTCCCTTCATTGCCTCTTGGATTCTTAAGCACACCCCGTACTTAGTAAGTTGTGTGGATCAGATGTCCTGGCGATGCCTCAGCAGCGAGGACCCGCCTGAGGTGGCTCATGGGAGGCGGTAGGGTCCTGAAAGCACACAGGTGGCGCGAGAAGGGAGCGTTCTGGCTGCACCTGGGGGGGGACCTGCCTCTCCCGGGTTCTGCCTCCCGTGTTCCCTGTGCCTAGTCCACCTTCCTTCGTGGCCCCAGAGCAGGCGTGCTGGGTGAAGGAGCTGCCCCAGAATTCCGAGAAGGGCTTTCCTGAAGGAGGGAATGTCTTAGGGCTGCAGAAGCTCAGGGAGGCCTTTGGGTAGGACCAGCTGCTTATTTTACTGGAATGAGGATATTTGCTGGTAGTGTATTTTTAATGGCCAAAAAGGTGCTTTAAAGTTTGGGAGAACAGAAACTTAGAGACTGACTCAGGTTGTCTCAAGGACCGCAGTTCTGTTGCTCCTGATGGAAGTAAGAAGTCTAACCTACCGAGGCTTTCTCTCGTGGACATAACAGCAGGCCCTGCAGGGTTTTCTAGCGTGTGCCATGGGAAAACGATTTGCGCCGCTCTGTTGCATGGGGAGCTGGTTTGGGTTTTGGGGGGAGGGGCAGAGGGACAGTCTAAGCTCCACCCCCAGCTCGGGGCCCCGTCTGGAGACTGTGACCCCAGCAGAAGTCAAGAGGTGGCCACTTAGCCAACGGAGCCACGCCAGTGCCCTGCATGGGAAGCCGAGTCATACCTTCAGGGTCTCCATGCTGTGTCGCCTACAGCAGGGAGTCTCCCAGGAAAGGAGATGCCAAGTGACCGGTTTCAGTGCAGTTTGTTCAAAGTCACGGCGCCCCAAAAGATGCACATGCAACTCCAAACATAAAAGTCCATTTCTCTCCCACTTTGTTTCACAAACACAACTCATTAGTGCCTGCTCTGTGTCAAGTCACTGGGGACGCGGGTTCCAAGTGTCCCACAGCCGATGCGGGAAGGCAGGGGTGCACAGTTACATGAGCACAGTTCGTCTCTCGGTTTGTGCACAGCAGCTGCACCGGGTACTCTGGGCTGCCCAGGAGGACCCCATCTAACCCCTGCTGGCAGGCCCCCTGCGGAAATGGCTTCCCTCCTGAGGCGGGGGGCTGTTGCAGGCGGAGGAGACCCCGGGGCAGAGAGGCTGCTGCCCGCAGACGTCAGGAGACCTCCGCACGGGTCGCGGGAGCCGAGGGCACCGGGGAGGAGGGCCTCAGGCTTCGGAGGAACATTCACGGCCTTCATGCAGCTGCCTGCAGGGGGCTTGGTCCGGAGGCCGGGCTTGGGGGCATCGTGGGACCGCGGCTCAGCACGTAGGTCAGCCGTTAACCAACCCCCGCTTCATCCCCTGGAGCCGCTTTCCACATTCTCCTGGTAAAGGCGATGGTCCAGCGCCCCTAATCACTTAGGACATTCCGTTCTTGAGCAGCGCGTTGGAAGAGAAAAGGCAAACGGAAAGTAAACTTCAGCATATTCTACTCAGCCCAGATGTCCGAAAACTATCCTGACAGTATGCGGTCAGCACAAACCCTGCGCACGAGGTAGTCCGCATTCTTTTTCGTAGGAAGCCTTTGAAACCCGGCGTGTCGTTTCCTCGCGGCCGGTAGCTGGGATCAGCCTCAGGGAGGGCTAGGCTCCGCCTGCAGCTGCAGCTGCGACCCACCGTGGTGAAGGCGCCCGTTCGGGGGGAGGCCAGTGGATGTGGCACGGGCAGGTGCAGTGGTGGGAGGGACATGGCGGGCCGGCGGCTGGCAGCACCCTGCCACCCAGCCAGTGCAGCCGGCCTGTCCCCCGTGCCCAGGCCCCCCCGGGGAGGGGGTTCTGTTCTAGGAGTGGTCGCGCTGTATCCGTGTGCACAGCACACACACACACACACACGCGCACGCGTCACACATGGTGCATCGTGTGTGCATCACAGGTGTGCTGGAGCTCCCAGGGCAGGGCCAGCAGGTGCACCCCCTCCCCGCCCATGGCCTTGCCAGCCCCCGGCAGTGCAGAAGGAGGCCTCACGTCTCCCGGCTGCCCAGCGAACCCCAACTCCGTGCCTGTCTTTGTTATTTCTGTTGCAGGCAGCTTCGGAGGACTGCGCTGTGGGGGAGGATGCGGCTTATTCCCGGCGACGCGGCGCCTTGCCCTGCCTGTTCCTTCGGATCCGTTCAGTGAGGCAGCAGATACTGAATTAAGTTCCTGTGTGTGGACCCCACAGATCAACGTTCTATGGTAAAGGGAGCCATGGTCACTTGGCAGATGTAAAAAGGGAAAGACGGAAGTTAAGTTCTTCGTACCACCCGAAGAGGCTTGTCATTTATATGGGATTTGGAACACCCACAGTATTTCGGAAACGGTCTTCAAATGCAGCCACTCCCCTCCCCACGCCTCCCTCCTCCCTGGCAGTCCCCTGACCCCGTCGCCGTGGAAACCACAGGGCGCAAACTGCCCACCCACTCGGATTCTGTGGCTGAGAGCTGGGCCTGGCGATGCCTGCTCAGGGTGGCCGCTGGGGCCGCTTCTTGGAGCAGCGGGCCAGGCAGCTGCAGCGCCAGGTGCAGGTGAGCAGGGGCGCTGCAGCCACACCTGCAGCCCCACTGGCCGGGTTGACCACCCCCTCCCGCCTCTGAGCCTTGGGGGCATGGCCAGCGTGGGAGGGTTGGGGTGATGGCACTGGAAGACCGCGTTGGGGGTAGAGGCCCCATCATCTTCTATCTTCTGCTCTGTAGGGTCCTCGTCTGTAGTGCCCCTTGGACCTCACCCCACCCCACCCACACCTGAGACCTCATGCCCCTCACCTGAGGCACCTGTGTCATCCGCCCAGGGCCCTCCCGTTTCTTATTGGGCGTTTACTATTTACTGTGCTAAATTTGGGAATACAGTGGTTAAGCAACAGCCCTGCTCTCTTGGAATATAGCCTTGAATAAAGGAATAAATAGTCACAATAAATGTAAGCCATGGAAGTGGCCTCAAGATAATGCTAGAGAGGGGAGATACATGGTCTTATTCGGGTCCATAGTGCAACCCTGGTTGAGTCCCAGTCGAGGACTTCCCCTGGGGGCAGAGGTGGAGCTGAGTTCTGCTGAGATGGGAGGCTGCCATCTGGCAGCGGGGTTGAGGGTTGAGGACAGAACAGCCTTGTCGTGGTGTGTGTGGCGTGTGCGGGCGGGGCTGGCCCTGGGAGACTGGCAGGGCGCAGGAGAGAGCAGATGGTGGAGGCTGAGAGGCGGGAGGAAGGCGGCCCACGCAGGGTCAAGCAGGACTGAGGATGTTGTTCTTTGTCTTGAGGGCCAGGAGAGGCTACTGAAGAGATCTTAGGAGGGGGACGGTACTTAGATCCACATTTTGAAAATGTCACTCATAGCAAGTCCTCCTCGAAGGAAAGGCGTGAAGATGTCGGTGGAGTTAGAAGGTGCAGGGCAGGACTGGCCGGACAGCAAGAGCAAGACCTGTGCGTCTGCTCCGAGCAAAACAGGCACACGTGGGAAAAGGGCGCAGAGCCCCTAGAAGTGGCCCTGATGGCGTACATCACGTGAAGAAACGTTTATTCAAGAAATCTGCTAAAAATCTCTGTAAGAACAGTGCAAGTCTGTGGCTCCTTCCCTCCCACCAGCCGAGCTCACCTTGACAGAAGGTCCACTCTGGGCGTGCGTGTCCAAGATGGGGCTTCCCCCTCAGCTTCCGACTTAGGGTCTCACCGTATCTCACCAGCACGCAGCTGAAGACGCTAAGTTACCAGTGGGTGGGGGGAGGCTTGGGGGTTCATGTGGCTCCCCACTCACATGACAGAGGCCTCACCCCAGGACAGGGGCCAGGAATACTGGGATCCCAGTTGCTCTTTCTGCCCTTGATCAGCACAAAAGTTTCACAGTGAGAGCCAGCCGAAAGACCGGAGGCCACAGCCCTGCCCAGTGCCCAGATCGGTGATTTAGCCCAGGGGGAGAGGCAGCCCATAAGAAGAGAGCTCTGAAGCTCTTCCCAAAGGAACTTTCTCCAAAACACACTGTGGGGAAGTTCAGAAACGAACTGTTCTTAATTAAGAGCAGTTATTAGTGTGCTTGGGCACCATAACAAAGTAGCACAGAAATATGTTCTCAGTTCTGGAGACTGGAGATCTGGGACCAAGGTGTAGGCAAGGGGTGGTTTCTCCTAAGGCCTCAGCCCTTGGCTTCCTCCTGTGGTGTGTGGCTGCCTTCTGTGGTGCACTCCCGTGGTCTTTCCTCTGTGTGTGGGTATCCCTGGAGTACCCTCTGTACCCTAATCTTCTCTTCTTATGAGGACACCAGTCAGGTTGGATTAGAGCCCCTCTTAATGGCCTCATTTTAACTTAATCACCCCTTTAAAGGCCTTGTCTCCAAATACAATCATATTCTGAGGTCCTGGACTTGGGACTTCAACAAGTGAATTGTGTGTGGGGGGCGGGGGGCGGTCAGGCACGGGATACAGCCCATAATTAGCAACCTAGTTCACT